ATAGAATAGAATAGAATAGAATAGAATAGAATAGAATAGAATAGAATTCTTTATTGGCCAAGTATGATTGGACACACAAGGAATTTGTCTTTGGTGCATATGCTCTCAGTGTACATAAAGGAAAAAAATACATTCATCAAGAATCATAAGATACAACACTTAGTAATAATCATAGGTAATCATAATCATACATAGGTTACTCATACGCAATCAAAAAATACTGGGAAAACAAAACAATATAAATTGTAAAGATACAAGCAACACGGTTATAGTCATAAGTGAGAAGAGGTAGGTAATAAGAAGGACCAGAAGAATAATAGTAATACAGTCTTACTAAGTAATTTGACAGTGTTGTGGGAGTTAATTGTTTAGCAGAGTGATGGCATTCGAGAAAAAACTGTTCTTGTGTCTAGTTGTTCTGGTGTGCAGTGCTCTATAGCAGTGGCCCCCAACCTTTTTTGTACCACGGACCGGTACCAACATCACGAAATGATCCACGGACCGGTACCGGCATCAGCACGCACGACCAAGGCAAGGCGAGCCGAGCGACCAGCCAGCCAGCCGTCCCCCGCTTCTCCCCATCACCTTCAACTCCTCCTTTGTACCTTTGTCGATGGGCTTTTCAGGCTCTTTCTTAATCTCCTCCTGAGTAACGCGAGACTCCACCGCCATCGGGACAGCTCTTCGTTCGAAGCCGCCCCCCCCCTCTTCGACGAAACTAAGGCGCGAGGATTCCTTCAGCACCCAAACGCCGCTTTCCAACTGACCGACAAGCTCACCTGGAAGCACTTTCTCAAGCGCCGTCAAAACAAAATGGCGGCACCCAAGTACCGGCGGCCCAGTAGAAAATGATCCACGGACCAGTACCGGTCCAGGGCCCAGTGGTTGGGGACCACTGCTCTATAGCGTTGTTTTGAGGGAAGGAGTTGAAACAGTTTATGTCCGGGATGTGAGGGATCTGTAGATATTGTAGATATGTCTGTAGAAACAATGAAACCAGATCATTCTTCAAGTACAAGTGTTGACCTCATTGACAAGATTTTAATTTTGCTGCTTCCTGCAATTCATGCCATTGCATCCCAGTTTAAGACTGGAAAAAGTTTCTATGTTAGGAAAGTTCCGGGGTCATGTGATCACTTTTAAAACCTTCTGACAAGCAAAGTCAACGGGGAAGCCAGATTCACTCAACAGCCATGTTGCTAACTTAACCACTGCAGC